TGGCACCCCAATGGAACATCGGTATAATGTAATATCAACATGTATGCATATGTTAAAGGTTGAAGATGAAGAGAGAAATGTGCTAATTTTATGGTTTCGACCTATATATTGTATGTGGTGACACATACGTAAGTTTTAAACTGTATGTGTCAACCTGTATAAGGCTATGTGTCGACTGAAACAAGTCAGAGGCTACAGGCTTTAAAATGATAGTAAATGTGTCGACCTGAAAAATAGATGTGTCCACACATAAAATAAGAATTTATGTAATTTCAGAAATGCTTCAATATGTGTCAACCTATACAATGCATGTGTCGACCCGAGTCTTCTAGAGGCTACAAGCTTCAAAAATGAGTTGCATGTGTCAACCTGAAAAATGAATGTGTCGACACATGCAATGAAAAAATTATGCAGAAAACTGTTTTTAATAACTTGGATTAATTTCAAAATTCTTTTTAATGATTCCTAAGACCTCTAATGCAAAGGAGTGCCATAAGATATAAGGATACCATCCAATGTACAAAAGTTTAAGATTTTCAGTTTTGACATCATTCAAAACCTTTGATGATGAAGTTGTACTCATAATTAATATTTTAATTTGTTATTCTATTTAAACTTAGTTGAATTGCTTATTACAAGCTCAAATGAATTAGGCTTTTAAATAAGCTAATAGGTTAATCGGGCCTTATAAAAGGCCATGTCCATACCTAAAAACTAGCTTATGATTGGCTAAAGGCCAAACTTATGCTTTGGATTTTTTAGTAGGCCAGACTCAGCCTTGTCAAAGCCTAACTCAGCCCAACCTATTTCCATCCTAGTTGAGAAGTTGAAGAGTACACGCTTCGTAAATGAGATCAAATATCCAACCTGGTTGGCTAATGTGGTCCTAGTTCAAAAGTCATCGAACAAATGTCAAATGTGAGTCGATTTCACCAACCTGAGCATCATATACCCTAATGATCCATACCCGTTACCCGATATTGGCAGGCTAATAGATAAGTCTTCTACCTATAAGACCTTGAGTTTCATGGACGCCTACCCTGGTTACAATCAGATGAATATGGATTCTTTAGACATTACCAAAATGACGTTCATGTCCAACCATATAAGTTATTACTACAACATCATACCTTTCAAACTAAAGAACACGAGTGCCATCTACTCGACACCGGTTGATGTAGTGCTCTCGAAGTACATAGGGAGAAACTCATAGGTCTACATTAATGATATAATTATGAAGATTTTATAAGGGGAAATTCACTACAGACATATAAGGCATCTTGGAATCAATCAAGAGGTATAACATGCGCCTGAACCCTTTCAAGTGCTCCTTCGATTTTTAGGCAGGAAAATTCCTAGGGCATATGGCCTAGAACATATGGCAAAAAAAAACACTTCATAATCAATTAATTATACACCCATAATCAATTATGCTAAGTTAAAATTTTTTTTGGCTTTTTCAAAGAAGTTTTCTAAAGAGTTTTTTAAAAGGGTGAAGTTGGAAAACAATTTTGGTAAATGTATGTATACATTTTAGCATTAAGAGAGCTACTCATTATTTTAAAATACAACCCTAATAAAATAAAATCACTTAAACTTCATATCAAATACATTATTTAAGATTCAGGTTCATTCCTTTGATGATACTCATAATATTTGATTATGTTGAATCAATAATCAAAAACTTCATTTCATGTTTATTGATTCAGGCCCATTCCTTGATGATGTTCATAATATTTGAGCTTCTTGAGTTAATTATAAAAATGTTTAAACCTAGAATCACATCTTCAAGGTCTTAAACATAGAACACACTAACCCTTTGACTACCCATCAAGCAATGTTATACATGCAAGAGCGCACCTCTACTCGGTGGAAGTCATAGAAGATTGGGGGATCTTCCCTCAATGCCATGTTCACTAATCTTTTCAGCTTGACTAAGAAGCCTTATGGGAAGGTGTGTGAAATGGGAATCTTGCATGAAAATGTTTGGAATTGGGAATTTCATGTTGCGGCAGACGAATTGTTAGGCAATATGGAGACTATCGATGAAGCTTTCGATCTCATTGAATTGTTAACAAATTTCAAATCATCAGGCGAAGCTTGTGATATTCTCAGGTGGTGGCCTAATCAAGACGACATTTTCACAGTGAAAAGCAGTTATAATTTTTTGTGAGAAAAGAAGCTTGAAGATGTGTTGGCCTTAGATTCAACAATAACCCTAAAGTTGCTTTGGAAAACTAGCATCCCTTTGAAACATAAAGTGTTTGGTTGTAGGGTAGTGATAAATAGACTCCCAACTAAATACCAATTGGTAAAAATGGGAATTATCTATGTTGAACACGATAAGGTATGCGCTTTATGATTTGAAGAAGATGAAGATCTTGGTCATTTATTTTTAAGTGCAAATTTACCCATAAAATTTGGAGGAATGTTTATGTGTGGTTAGATATGAAGGGTTTGGATGGGCATATGGGTTTATCTCACTTTAAACAATTTGTGAGGGAAAGGTTCCTTCAATAACGATTTTAATGATGTCAAAACTTTCCACTATATGTTGAAAATGTTGCTAGATGATATGGTGGACAAGGAAGCATGAAAAGTCTTCAAGAATTGATATTTTTGGAAATTTCTATGCTTTGAGTCAACTCAAAGAAATCTCTGGTTGACACATGACTGAAAGTTGTTCCTTGGGGAAGTCTCGAGTTTGCTCATGTCGACTGTGTGGTTGACTCAACCAGGGAGAAATTTTTAGGAACTATGCGTTGACACATAGCATTGGAGCGGTCGATGCATGGATTGAAAGTTGCGCCTTGGGGAAGTCTTGGGTTTGCTCACGTCGACTGTATGGTCGACTCAACCTGGAAGTAGTATTTAGGAAATATGCATCGACGCACAGTCCTGGAGCGGTCGACGCATGAATTACACACTTTTGTCTTCTAGCACTCTCGGGAATGCTCATGTCGAGTCTCCCTTTTGGCATAGGTCGACCATTCGCTCGTTAAATCTGTTTTTCAACTTGACAGTTTGGGTTTTGACTTGAGATAACATATATAATCTTGTAAGGTTATATCATTTGGTTTTCAACAAGAAAAGTGAAATAGATACACAAGGTACTCATCATCTTCAACCTCTCACTCATCTATTGGCAACTGCACATAATAATTTTTGTCGATCAAGGTGTGGAGCGTGTGTTGATAACGTCTGAAGTAGAAGATTGCAATCTTGTTCGAGTTGAGTAATTGTGGATTTTTCTTGAATAAAATCTGAGGGTTTTGTCCTCCAAGATCATTGGGATTTGGGTTTTTTTTGACAATTCTTTGCTTCAAATTAAGTCGTGCTTAAGGGATTGAGGAACCGTGGGTTCACTCGACAAGGTAGCTACAATCAGAGGATTGTGAAGGAAGAATTGGGGTCACCATCTTGCGATCAAATCAGCCGAGTAGAGGGTTTGAGAAATGGTTTGGGTTCTCAACAAGGTAGCTATAACCAGAGGTTTATCGAAGATTGGTGACATACTTGGTTCAAATTGAATCAAGGGAAGAAAGGATATTACTTTTCAATTCAACATATTGGGTTTGAATTGTGGTGACTATTTTTTATCTCTTGTACAAACTTTGAAATGATAATAGCAATTACCCTAATTCTACATTCTAGAATTAGGGGCAGAGTACCCCACGCGAGGACAACAAGGGGAACTGCCTAAACAAATCGTGTGTCATTTTTCTTTCTCGTCTTTTACCATTTATTTGCTATAATTTGTGAATTTGTACTTGTAGTTCCAATTGTCTGGATTTGTAGTGTGATAGAACTATTGCTAAGGACTATAGTAATCACTTTGATTGCTATAATTGGTTTTAACACTACAAATTAAGATAGATTAGACTTGGTATGATTACGCACACCGTGTTCGATAAAAGTTCAAAAGTGCAAATTTATGGGTTTTCTTCTCAACAATTCATTGGGACTAATTGACTACAGTTAAAAAGTATACATGCCCTATTATATTCACTTTCACTATGTTTTAAGATTTCATTAAAAACTCTTTTTAAAAATTACGGTCTAACATTAACGATTTAGTAGAGAGGAATTTGCTTGTTTTAATTTTCAAAGGAGTTGGTTGCGTAATTAATTATTTATTAAATATTAATTAATTTCCACTATTTTTAATTTAATTAATGCTAATTAATTCCACCGAATTAATTAATTATTAATAATCATTAATAATTAATTTTCACCAAAATCCGGTTCAAAAAATTAATTCAACCGGACCGAGCCGGCCGGACGGACGGACGGCGGCGCGCGCGCGTGTGTGTCTAGATGACTTAGTGGTGTGTCCTCACTCCTTAACAAAATTGGGGTGCCCCTTGGGGCCCAACCCAAGTGTCCAAGTTGGAGTATTTATGCACTACTAGAAGTTGTGTTCCCTCCAATGTGGGACTTAAATGAATCCTTTCAAATTCACTCACAAACTAGTTCATTCATGTGCTCATTTATTGCCCATTTAATGTCAATGAATCATTCCAATTCCCAATCCAAGTTGTCATCATTCCAAGATTTCCAATAGATCTCCATTGACCCCAATAAGTTTACTAAGTTTACTGACTATTATTAACAATTTCACCACATAATCAACCCATCGTCTCTTCCGTCACACTTTATCAACTCCAACTTTTGATCTAGATCCACACGTATATAGAAGAATACTTACTAATTCACGTGCCCCGGTCGTGTATCCAAAATTGGAGCCCAACGTCATGGCACACCCCGAACCCGCGCCTCCTCATATTTTCTAAGCTAGTCAGTTACAAGTAACTCACTGAGTCAAACTCGTGGACCCCATCGTCTTCTCCAATCCCCAATCCAACTCAATCCAAATCTCTGAAACTCGCTCTCTCCTCCAAAACCCTACTCTCTTCATTTTCAATGTTCCTTTTCAATTCCTCAACAATTCACCTCCCAATCACTCTCACTTTCACCCTCTCCTTCAGATTCACCGTCTGATGTCACCGTCACACATGTCCATGGAAACGGAAGCCGCGTCTCACGATTCCGTAAACGAGAACTGCAAGATGCAGCAGCGGCGGCGAGGCGAGTTGGTCGTGAACGGTTACTTCGTATACACACGACGCAAGAGGATCGAGCATCATTCCGATAACGAGATAGTGAAAAGACTCAGAACCGAAGAAAATGAAGAAGCTAAAGCGGAAATTGACTCCGGTGTGGCAGAGAAGAACAACACCGTCGTTTTATGGACTTCGAAACGGCAGCGGCGGCCGTCGTTTAAGCTTAAGGTTGATTCACAAGAAGATAATACGTCTGCTGACAAGGCTGCTGCTGTTTGTAGTACGAAGAGCGTCGTCGCTAACGAGAAGCTAATGACTGTGAAGGAGCTCTTCGATACTGGTTTGCTCGATGGTGTTCCGGTTGTTTACGTCGGTTGCAAGAAGGAGGTTAGTGTCTTCATTTATTCATTTACTTTACAAATCATTTTCATTCATATGTTTAATTTGCACATTTTGATGATATTTTGACTGATGTGTTAATTTTGTTCTTGTTGACTGAGAAATTGAGTTATTCATTTCGATATGATATGCTTTAGTTAAAGTGAATAATATTGTAATTACGATTTATCGAAATTGGTTACATCATCAAAAGTTCTTTATATTATCATATAATCTACTAATGTAATTTAATAGGAGTATTGTTAAGATATAGAATAATAATAGATATCAGAGTAGTTAAATTAGTTATGAGTTGTTAGAAAATTTAATTAGTTAGTTATTTGGATTGTTTAGAGAGTATGTGTATAAATAGGAGAACACCAAGGTTAAGGAATATCTCTGGAATATTGCAATTGTGAATAGAGCAATGTAGTGAAGATCGAGTGTAGTGAAGATCGAGTGCTGGATGGTAAGATCTTACGACCTTACGTACCAAGGATGCTTGAGAGTGCCGCGATAAGAGAAAGATCCTTTTCGTCGCCGGTGTGGTCAAGATCGAGCTTTTTGAAGCAAAACTCGTAAAACAAATGTGTTGTGCCTTTTTTTTGGGCCTGAATTATAATTTTCATGTTTTTTGTGTATATGTGTGTGTATATATATGAAATTACCATTTCCCCTTCGGTAGGATCTTACGTGCTGTGCTAACAATCCGAGTTTTACGATCTTTCACACCGACTGATCCTACTTAGGATCTCATGCTTGACTACATTGGAATAGAGTATTCTCTATTGTGAAAGAAAACCCATGAGGAGAGATTCTTTCCTATTTCTTAACAGAAGTGTTATTTCTCGAAATTCAATTCTTGAATTCCTAACAACTATAAACTATAAGTTATACTCCTATAGATTAGATAATTAAATTGTCGCATATGTGTACAAACACATCAGATTAAAGGTGTGTCCAACACCAACACATTTAGTTACATTCAATTAATTATTATTTTTTTTCAAATTGTTATTAGTTGTGATTGTCGTGTTTGATGTTGGTGTCTTATTCAGTGCTTCGTAATACCCACTAAGTTTAATATTGATGTGGTTTGATTGTAGGCTTCAGATTCGGGATTGCAGGGTGTAATTGCTGGTGGGGGGATATTGTGCTCGTGCTGTCTGTGCAATGGACGCAGAGTGAGTTGTCATTATCATTTTCTGACTCTGGGTCATGGTTGATTACTTGTTTACCTAGTACCCACTACCTACCCCAGTGGTTTCTTATTCCTTTGTTCAAGACTGCTCTTACATTTGTTCCTTCTGCCTGTGTAGGTTATTCCTCCTTCCAAATTTGAGATTCATGCCTGCAAAATATATAAAAGGGCAACACAGTATATTTGCTTTGAAAATGGGAAGAGTCTGCTTGAGCTATTGGGAGTATGCAGGACTGCTCCCTTACATACTTTGGAGACCACCATTCAAAATTTTCTTTGTATACCGCCTGAAGAGAAGTATTTTACTTGCAGGAGCTGCAGAGGTAAGAGCTTTGTTTTGGTTCTTTGGAGTCAATTGTGTTTTATGTTATCAAGTTTGTCATCATGATCACAGTTTTTGTGGTAAAGCTAAGAATCAAATATAATATTGCGGTATCTTTATTTCTTTATTTATTGCCTTGGATGCTTATTGTTGTTGTTATTATTATCATTATTATTCCCATAGGGTGTTTCCCTGTTTCAACTGTGAAAAGAGTGGGGCTTATATGCCATTCTTGTGCGGAAACAAGCAAGTCTGAAGACGGTTCTATTCGTGCAGTTGGCAAAAGAGTCAGGTATTTATTTGTTCTGCCGTTGGGTTTAATATCTATCTGTTGGGAGTTGAGTGAGTTTGGAGTCCCAAAGGTTGAGTGTACTAAAGATGATAGTACAAGAGAACAGACCTATTTGCTCAATCTTTTTAGGTTTTGGGTACTGGTGAGGTGCAATGTTATATTCATTCTCCGTGGTCTGTTGTTTTGGCTCATAGTTGTGTATTGAATTACTTTGTTTTACTGGTTATTAATGTATTGAATTACATTGTTTTATGGGAAAGATTATTGTAAAAGTAACATTTTTCCTATCGTTGAAAAGATATTCATTTTCTTCAAACCATGTCGAAATTGCAATGAAAAGTGTTTAAGCCTGTTCCCTCTTTCTGACTTTCTTTTATGTCAATAATGTATTACAATATTTCAGGACTCCCCGACCATATCTGTTCTCTAGTCCATCTAGTATTTCTGAAACAAGTATTTCTTCACAAACTAAGAGACAACAGAAGAAGAAAACGAAGTGGGTTTTATTATCTATTCCATTTATCTTCTATATTATTAAAATTTGTTAATTTTTGTGTTACCAAATTCTCAAGAAGAGTGCTTACATGTTTTCAACTATGTTATTAAGGTCATCAAAACGGGTTAGCATGACAAAATCTTCCAAGAAGAGTGCTTCTGTGCCTATTATCCAGAAGAATAGTTTGTGCAGCATGGAAACAAAGTTTGTGCCTTGCTTTATTTTTGAGCACCCTTATATAGTTAGAATAAAATACTTGTTTGTTAAATGTTTACAGCCACGTCTCTTGTCCCCTATTTATTATAATCAGTTCTTATCACTAGGTCATCAAAACTGTTAGTCAAGTTTAAGATTGCTCCAATTACTTCAAATTCAAAATGTTCATCTCCACAAAATAAGAGTCAGTGGAGGATCAATAAGAAGTTAGTTCTCTTTCTGCCAATTCTTTTGTGTATGTATATCTGTCTATTTTCTTTATCACATTTCGTTAGTGATAGTAACTATTTGTCCACCCATCATGTTCTTCTTAAGGCATCAGCGATTGCATAAATTAATTTTTGAAGAAGATGGATTGCCTGATGGAGCTGAAGTAGCTTATTATGCACGCGGACAGGTTGTTTATTTGTGTATTTAATTTAAAAGTTATTCTATGTGTTTTATTCTGTTAATTGTTCTGTTCTAATTGACAGAAATTTCTTGAGGGTATAAAAAAGAAATCCGGAATTATTTGTCGATGCTGCAACACTGAGGTATTTATAATTATTTCCCCTGTATTTAAGTGGGCACACCTCAGGATTTTTTAAGAAGTAGAGGTAATGCTTTGAATTTTTTAAATTATGCAGATCAGCCCCGCACAGTTTGAAATTCACGCAGGGTGGGCTTCTCGCAGGAAGCCGTGAGTTTTCTATTTGTTCCTATGCCCTGGGATTGGGGGGTCATGGCTTTGTTGGAGGAACTGAGAAGCTTTTTGAAAATGTTAATTGCTTATCTACGAATTTTCATGACATGAAATGATTTTGAGCAGTTATGCATACATCTACACGTCGAACGGGGTGTCTCTCCATGAGTTGGCATTATTCCTCTCAAAAGATCGCAAATGCACTGCAAAATATAATGATGATGCATGCATTGTTTGTTGGGATGGTGGAAATCTATTGCTCTGTGATGGATGCCCAAGGGCATTTCATAAAGGTAAGATTTAATTGACATGATTTGACGGGCAAGTGTCTAGTTTCTATTGTGTGTGAAACCATCCTTTTCCCTATTTATGTTTTCAATGTTATTTGTAAGTTATTTGACCCCTATTAAAGTTAGGGGTGGCAAACGAGCATGTCCGTCCTGTTTAGGCCTGCCTTGCAAAAGCCCCCAAAGAAATGGGACGGAGCGGCAGGCGGGCATAGTTGAGGGTACGGGCCTAATAAAACCTTGGCTCGCCCCAAAAAAATGAGGGCGGGGTGGGGCGGACCAACGGGCACAACACATTTTAAGCCTAAAAATGCAAAAAGTTTATGTTAATGCTTACGCTCGCAAATGCCTGCAAAAAAACGGGGTGGGGCGTTGCCCGCCCTGCAAAAAAGTGCGGGCAAAATGGGCTTGCCGGTGGGCTGTGCCCATTTTGCCACCCCTAATTAAAGTCAGATATATGATATGAGATGCAACAGTTTCTCATTTCTGTATCCCCTGGGTAGCATATAGGAAAAAGCTACTTTACAACTGCACTTCAAATTAAGGAAACTGAAGAGGGAATGAGAAACAAATGCCTGCTTATCTATTCTCTGCCTTCTTCAACATCGTTTACCTTTTTTTGGTTGATTTCGTTATTAATTGTTATGGTCTACTTCTAGGTTTCTTATCTAAATGCATACAAGTTAATCGTATTTGTCTAAGTCTAATATAATTAATCGGTTGGGTAACTTGGGTTATTTATCCAATGGAATTTGTAGTCTAACCATGCGTTTTGGCTGTTTGAAGATGAACTTTACATAAGTGTTAATAAACCTTTTGCTGTCTAAAGCTATTAAGCTCTACTTTCAAATGAAATAATAAATTTTAAGGCTTTGACACAATGATGTTAAATAGCCTCTAAAGTGGCGCTATACCAATATAGCGTATCAGAATTCAGACAAACTGCTATTGCTCCGCCAAATGCTATTTAGTGCAACATGTTGTTAAATGACTGCTATAGTCGCACTACGGCACTATTGCATAGAGTAATTTTAACAATCCTCTATTTTCCACTATCTGCAATTGACAAAACTTGATGATGCCTAAAATTTTATTCAATTGGAAGCAGCTGTTAGGAATAATATTTGCTTTGTATGATAAATTACATCTAGTCATCTTCTAGATGAGCTTAACCGTCTTCTGTTTGGAAATGTACAGAATGTGCGTCTGTATCAAGTACTCCACGTCGTGGCCGGTACTGTCCAATTTGTCAACACATGTTCCTTGGAGAAGGATCTGTGGCTCTCAATCCTGATGCTGTGGCGGCTGGAAGGATTGAAGGAGTTGATCCTATAGAACAGATTGCCAAGAGATGCATTCGGATAGTGAAAGATATTGAAGCTGAAATTGGTGGATGTGCTTTATGCAGGTGATAATTACATTGTATAGATTAGGACTTAGAAGCCAATGCATAGACTTGGATTTTCTCTAAAATGTATTTCTTGAAATTGTTAGGTGTTGCAACACTTTACTTCAGTATTCACAATATTTTCCCTTGTCATATATTTTAAATAGAAAATTATGTTAACATAGGGGTTCTGACTTCAGCAAATCAGGATTTGGTCCACGCACAATAATAATATGTGATCAGGTAATCATTCTTTTCCAGGCATTACTTTGACAATACATAGAAAGGCCCCAATTACATTTAAATTAAAAGTGGGTTTATTTTGTGAAAATATATTCTGTTTTAATTTCCTAAAACGTGTTTATTTTAACTTGCTAATAAGATGAAAGACTTTTGGAGTGAACCATTATGATAAATAGAAGATAAAATGCTAGTTAGGGATGATGCGTTTCCAGAAATAATGAAAATAGTTCTTGCCATTTTTGTTGTTTCCGGAAATGTAAGACAAATGTTCACTTCAAGTGTCTCTTTTCTCCTAGTGAACAATTAAAACTAACACAAATTTTAGGAAATGAAATTAGGAAATGTTTTCACGAAGGACTCATGTTTCCTTATTTGGAAAAGGGTATAATCAGATTGACAGTGATTTACGGGATTGGCTCAGTTATGCTATTTTCTCTAACCCTCTAACCCTCCTTTTTCATTGTAGTGTGAAAAGGAATATCACGTGGGCTGTTTGAGGGATCATAAAATGGCATATTTGAAGGTATCACTATCGTCTTTCTTCATATATTGACATATAAGTTTGGACACTGATCACACCTTTGTCCATTGGACGTAATTGTATAACAGGAATTGCCGGAAGGGGACTGGCTTTGTTGCAACGATTGCACAAGAATACATTCTATTTTGGGGAACCTTCTAGTTAGGGTGGCTGAGAGACTCCCTGAATCTCTTTTGGATGTTATAAAGAAAAAGCAAGAGGAAAGATATTTGGAACCCCTTAATGAGATTGATATAAGATGGAGGCTTGTTAATGGCAAAGTTGCTTCTCCTGAAACCAGGCCGTTGCTTTTAGAGGCCTTGTCTATATTTAACGTAAGTTCTGCCGGTCCTTATATTTCTTCATCATTTTCATGATCACAACTTCTTTATGTGGGGTGGTTAAAATTGATAATCCTTGTTTGTCCCCCAACAAATGGTGAGTGTTGAAAAGCTTCGCTCAATAGAAATGCATGTTAACACAGCTATAATTTTATGATTTACTTGTTCCTGCTAAAGTTTCTCATATAGCCCAGATAAACTTTTTGGTTTTAATGCTTTTTTTCAGTTGCGCTATTTATCTTTCTATCTATGCATGTGCACACCCAGACCCTTCATTCATGTACACTGCATTTGTATGAAGTGTTTGTGTATATTTTATAGTATTGCATGGGACATTTATGATGTTTTACGCAACTTATATTTTTTAATAACACGTTATAAACTTTCAATGAATATCTTTGCCATAGTGCATTTCTGTTTTTCTTTAGGAGACCCTTTTTCGAGTTTCCACAAGATCACTTTAGAACAATTGTTGGACTTTGGTGTTTGTTTCAGGAATGTTTTGATCCTATAGTTGATGTAGCTACTGAACGGGACCTTATTCCTTCTATGGTTTATGGGTAAGAAATTTCTATTAGAACATTTGTATGCTTTCATCCTTCTTTTCAATTTATTTTTTCATTGTTTCAACTGACTTATCACTCAAATACAGAAGGAATTTGCAGACTCAGGATTTTGGAGGAATGTATTGTGCATTATTAATTGTCAAGTAAGAAGTGATTTCTCTATTTAACTTTTACTTTTCATATTTCTACTTATGGTATTGTTCACATTTTACCTTCCTGACATTGAAGTTCATCTGTGGTATCTGCGGGCATGCTTCGGATTTTTGGGAGAGACATTGCAGAGCTTCCTTTAATTGCTACAAGATACAAAAACCGTGGAAAGGTGAGGCCTGAAACTGTAATACTAACTTGATTGGCCTTTCAATGGGTACCCACCCATATGCCTCACCTCACCTTCCCCTAACCAATTTTCCCAAAAGTTTTTTTTCTTCCCTTTCCACGGGAATATACGGTGGCCATGGTAAAGTCCGGGGAGGGTACAACACATATAATAAGTTACATGGTCTGCATATGTTTAATCAGCTAGACTGGTATTTAATGTTTCACAAAGTGGGTTGTTCTGAAGAGTCCCCTTAGGATGTGTTTAACGATGATAGCTTTTAGTTCTTTGATCTCTACCACTGTATTTTATGCAACTTATTTTCTGGTTCTGTCTTGCATAATTTTTTTTCTCTTGCTGATGATTTTGTTTTTGATCACTTATACGCATGTCTTGGTAGTGAACTATTTATGTTTTAACAATTGACTTGGACAGGGCTACTTCCAAACACTGTTCTCGTGCATTGAAAGGCTGCTGGCTTTCTTGAATGTGAAGAACCTTGTGCTACCAGCAGCTGAAGAAGCAGAATCCATATGGAAAAATAAATTTGGGTTTAGCAGGATGAAATTTGAGCAGGTATACTTTTTCTTGATTAACAATTGAGGAGCTAGGTTAACATTTTTGCCACTTTATTCTAGCCTTTAGTCTTACATTTCTGTGGCTTGAAATCAAACCATGCATCCCTGTCCATTTTTTATCATCTTCATTTTCTGAGAATATAAGCATGGTAGAGAGTGACATTATGTGAGGTTCAGATATCCTCTAAACTCAAATCACTCCAAAACTTTAGACCCGATTATTTGGTAAAAGCATTTTCTATTTTCTTAGGGTTGCGTTTGTTTCATGGATTGTGAGTTTATTCCCAGGAATGTAGACTGGAATATTTTTTATGCCAATGTTTGTTTCAAGTTATAAAAAATTATGCCTAGGAACTTTTTATTCCCAGGAACTTATTTTACACATAGTTGTCATTTTCTATTCTGATGTTATAGGGTGAGAATCTTTTATTCCCATGGGAATAAGAATTAATCACCTATAACTTCCCATTATCAAATATTTTAATTCATTTAGCATTTATTTTGAAATTTAAAATAAATATATTTTATAAATATTCCTAGGAAATGAAACTACTCACTAAACATGTAGATGGGAATAATATTCCCAGAAATAACATTCCTTGGATTAAAATTTTAATCCTTGAAACAAACACACCCTTATGCAAAATTTGCCTTAATTTTACTTGCAAACAAAAAAAAAAATCTGAATTTTTGAAATGAACAACTGTGTGCATATTTAAAAGATTGTTTTCATTATTTTCAAAAATATATCCATCTCTAACTAGGATTCCATCTTTTCTTCATCACAATTGTTGAGTCTCACATCTTATTTGTATGTTAAAATGAACACATTTTAAAAATAAAAATAGAAAATGTTTCAAAGTGTAAACGGGCCCTAGTAATCAAGAGGATCCATTTTCATGCATCATCCCAATTCCATGAGTGATCGAGTTTACTGTTGTGCTGCAGCTTACCAACTATAGAAAGAACTGCCAACAGATGATGGCATTCAAAGGAACAGTTATGCTTCACAAAACAGTACCTTTATGTCGGGTAATCAATAGTGAGAAATGAGAAATCTATGTAAAAAGGAGGTTAATCATAAAAGGGGAAAACCCCTACTTTATTGTATTCTTTTCCCGCTCTGCTATTTTTTTTTATCTGAAGCCATTTGACCTAGCATTTATGATGTCATTTTCCTTTTTTTTTTTTAATCTCAATATTGACATCTCCCTATTTTATGTTTTCACAACCCTGGCAAGCATGTTCCAGTATTGGTGTTGGACCTATGCTTTGTAGTCTAATACAGTGCTTTGTGACAACATAAACACTTCCTTTCAATAATTTAGAAGTTGTTTGTATAAAGTTTATGTGAAATTTACCTGTCACAATAAACACTTCCTTTTGATAATTTAGAAGTTGTTTGTATAAAGTTTATGTTAAATTTACGTATGATAAGCATGTATTGAATGAATAATTGAACGAGCTATTTACCAAATGCTTAATTGGAAATCTCATGTTACTAGTGATACAGATGAGATAGAGGCAATCTTCTAACGGTTAGTTAGTTGAGTTAGACTCGGGATAAAATTCTTGACGGACCCTTAACCCTATATGGTGCAAAAGTATCATATGTAAAATCGAAAAATGTTGGAGATACATCTTAATTTTGATAATAAATAGTCAATTGACTATTACAGGGAGTTATTTGGAGAAATTCAAGCGGAAATTTAGAAATCTATCATCTTTGCATGTCAGGTTATTTTGAAGATATATTTTTGAAAAAAATCAAATGTGTTATTACTTAAAATAGTCACCTGCATGGTTAAAGTTCATTTCCATTTTCTTCTTCTATAAATCCTCTTCAAAAACTCATTCATTCTCAATAAGTTTTTCATTTCAAATCTCCACTCTTGTGTTTCATTAAATCAAAAGGAGCAAAAGTAGTTGGAATTTAAGGTGAAGTTTATTTATTTCAACCCCCATTATTCACATTAATCATGTTTCGAAGTTGAAATGATTACACTGTCTCTCAAAGTGTATCTCTGAAATGTATATGAACTCCTTTGGAGATGTATTTTCAAAAACTGTCCACGTTGATTTTTCAGCGATTTGTTTTTTGTTTTGGATGTTTCTTAGTATTTTAAGTTATTGTTTTCATTAGATATGATACATTTCGATGCTATTCTCAAACCTGTTGTTACTCATGATTCTTCACTTGTAGTAGTGAAAGAGGTGAATATTGGCAACTATTTTAAAAATGAACAAGAGTTTGAATTTCATGATCACATGTTGCAGTTGATTCATACATAGGCATCTAAATTGGGGTTTAGTGTTGTAATCGGAAGGTCTGGTAATGGTTTAGATAGAAGAAATGTATTTGTGACTTTGGCATACAAAAGAAGGGGGAAATATAAACCTCCTCTCTGGAATTTCAAACGAGAAGATATCGGTTCAAGAAAATGTAAGTGTCTATTTAAGTTGCGTGGTTATTGGTTGACAAATGATAAATGAAGATTTATTGTGATATGTGATTTACATAACTATAATTTGTGTGAAAAGATTTACCGCTTTACTTTTGTTTTTGGCTATGTAAATACCTGAAGCCTTGTAATAGCGTAGTTTAAATTATGCATTTTAAATTATGCAAATATTTAACTGTTAGATGTATGATATTAGGATGTATGACAAGAATGTATGTGAAAAACTTTAAAACAGTTAGACAACCCTAAATGTGCAAAGATAATAAACCTGAAACTGAATCACTCGCACATGCGCACTCCTAGGGTACACTCTCACTTGGTTGCATTCGGTAAACGGTCATTGAGTATAGGATGCTTTAGTGGTCGTCCTTTTGTCCAAAGATCAAAGTTGCCTCGGAAAGGTTGCCTCAGATATTGTTGCCTCGGATAATTGATCTAAGACATTATGGTTATTACTAAGACGTCCTAACATTGCTTTAGTGACCGTACGTCCCTTTCGAATTGACCCTCAAACTCCAACAATTGTGCTACCTACTCACTAATAGTGGGATAACATTGTCTAAAGGAAACGAATACAGAATGATTCTTTTTTCGAGTAGGTAGATTAGTTTTTAAGTACTTGCTCAATCAAAACAATTTTTTTTCACACACTCCTTTACAAACAAGTTTTCAAAAACACTTCATTACACTCTTGAAGACAGAAGCAAGAGTTAAATCGAAGTTAAAACAAAAACTTTTCAAAGCACACAAACACAAAGAAAACAATTTTGAAAATGATGAGCAAGTACCTAAGAACCCGTAGATAACTACGGATAGAAAGGGTGCTAATACATTCCCTTTCTATAATCTACCCCTCGTACTCAGAAATATCTCGAAAAAGGAATTTTTCTGTGCTTTTTTTCTTTCCTTGTTGGATAAAATAAAAGACGGTGGCGACTCTTGCTTACCGCGACATTTTGCGAACACAAACGCAAAACGCAAACCAGCAATTCCTTAAAAAAGGGAAATCACGTCCCGGTTCTGGCCATCGTATCACAGAACTGGCGACTATGCTAGGGAGTTATAAGTGGGGTGTACCTTAGGAATAGTTCATTATATTGTTTTCAATTGTTTGATCTGTATGCTTTATCTTTGTGGGCTTTGTATCAGAGTTACTATAGATTCTAACTCGGATCTGGGGATACCTTTTAGGTAAGTAGCAATAGACTGTGAGGGAACTATACGGCATAGACCGATACGGTTGAAGTAATAGCTATGTTGGTGTGACACATTAGTTGGTACCGATATCCCTTGTGGAGGAACAAGGAGAGTATGGGGATGCTAATGGGTCATTAAGGATCAACTGACCTTAGAACCTATAATTGACCAACTTGGCCATAGAAAGTAGCAGTATGCTACACTCATTGAGACCATACTCTCGCGATGGTTTCGGCCGCAACAAAAGATTGCTAAGCTGAAACTATGACCGATCGAGGATGGTCAGTGATATTGAGAACCTCTAGAACCCGATTACTATTACTAGGACAGGTTGAACCAACTAAATTGCAAGAGGATAGTACCTAAACTCAATGCCAGCCTGAAATTTAAGGGTTATTGTGTGACTTGTTTGCCCTTACCATATTTTCTATCTGTGATACCTGTGGTGTGTTTTTATCATGATATCATGCATCATGACATCGCATGCATATTTCATTAGACTAACCATTTCAAAGATCGAGGGGATTCATCTTTGTTCTGTTTTACAGATCATGGCTTCTATGCGCAGAAATACCATTCGGATCAGCTTTGTGCAGATACCTCTCACCAACTGTTTGCCCTTTGCTGAAAGCAGGCATTCAATACTTGATAGACAACAAAGAGATTCTGTTTGAAAGTACTCCTGTTTTACCTGTTCCTGTTGAAGAAGTCTCAATCATAACCATCTCCACCAATTCTTCTAGGGTCCCCAAAAGACACGTTAGGATTACATCGGCTCCAAAAACTACTCCTCTTATAATCACAATGCCTGGGCCAGTCCCGTATGAATCAAACAAAATAGTGTCGTGGAATTACGGTGGAGACATCTACTACCATGGTATCAAACAAGATGGGCTGGCCACCAAAGAGATGAGCTCCGAAGAAGATGACTCTGACATTAGCAATATCGTCGGAACCAGTAAGATTACCCGTAGCGGTAGAATCTTCTCTCCAGAAATTGCCCCTCCAAAGGAAGTTTTTGGACCCGTGGCTGCTCCAAAGGTTACCTTCGTACCAATAATCATATCTCCAAGTGCTCCTATCAACATAGACGACACAACCCATACTGTTATCCCTACCAATACTCCTACTGCTGAAATTCGAGGAAAAAGTATTCTAGAAGAACCTGTCCGGACGAAGGCTCAACCACTGACTATTCCTGAAACCTCCAAGAAGGAAATGGAGGAGATCCTGAGAATAATAAAGAAGAGCGACTACGACTGATCGAGATTGTACTTATGTATCCAATGATTCGGACTGCAAGTGCACAGTCTTATCGTGTAGTTTTAAAAGATATCGAACCACAGAGACTGAGGAATCGATCTACCATCTTCTATCGTTACTTTGCAAATCTAAAGCTAATGAATATTTGATTGGGTTGTAGAGAAAACTAAATACTAAATTAAGTTGGATTTTTAATAATCAATGAGCTTAATTACCAGTATGCAATAGTCGTACCTCGGGAACTAGCGACCTGTTGGGCGTCTTTATATTTTCAAAACAGCTTTCAGTAAAACTTATTTAGTTTAAAAACTCTCGTCTCACACTGTCGTTTTGTTGATCTAGGCTATGCAGTTAAGTTCTAACGTACGCTTCCGCCATCCCGCAGGAGTTAAAAAACACTTTTTGAAAACTAAATAAAATCTTAATTAACTTTAAAGTGCTTCCGCTGTATTTTAAGCCAATGCCTAATTACTACTGTCCAGTTAAAAGATCTCAAACTTCCGCTTTGTTGACCCTAACCTCTATCTGTTTTTTACTTCCGTAACAAAACAATTTAATGATTGAAAAATAGTAACTTAGGCCAGAAAAGAAAGTTTTGTAGTAAAAATAATCCCAACTAAGTTACTCGTTTCCTTGGTTGAGTGATTTTACATACCGGTATAGGATTTCTAGCCTAACATAATGTTAAACCAAATCGCAGAATAATTTAAGGGACAAACAAAAATAAACATAATTATATTGATTAAAAAGCAATAAGAATTTGTAAACATAAACCTGGTAATAACTCTGAAGATAGAAGCACTCCTGCACAAACTGTAGGCTTTGCTTTGATCGGGGGATAAATGTAACCGTACAATGAAAATAAATGCTGGAAGGAATATAGAAATAATTGGAAAAATAAATAATGCTTAAAGAATATTTGGTAAAATTAAATATGGATTCTTCAAATATTCTACCCAAAAAGAAGAACTCTTTCTACTGTGGTCTAAGGCTCTATTTATAAGTCTTGCGTGATAGTTGTTCTCGAAAATGTAGGAACAGTTTATTTCTTCCTTTGAGAAATAATAGAGCCATTAATTTGTCACGTTCCTTGGTGCTTTGACTGAGTGGGTGAGAAAATATAGGTAGTCG